CTGTTTTCTATGGCCCTTTTTTATCCCAAACTCTGAATCCCTCATTTGCTTTATTGTCATGTGTGCTACCAAGTGCTCACTGCAGCCTGATTTCCTAGGTACCAGGAAAGCTTAGGTTAGCCCTTCCCACATGGAAGCAAGGCAATGCTAGTTTAAAATGTCATTTTCTTTCTTAATATGTTCAAGAAAAAGGTTGCATATAAAAAAAATAAACATTCTTGGAATATCTCCAGCATTTATAGAATAGTCCTTATTTCTGTATGATGGCTCTCGTAGTGCTTAGTTGTCTTTAACTTCATTCGAAACAGTTTTGTTAGATTATATTGTGACAGCTGTCATATCGGCATGCATTTTTAAATAACTTATCAAATTGGTGAATTTTTGTACAGCCATTTTAATATTGAAGGTGGTAGAAAATACACATTTTCAGCATATTATGATTTATTATTTCAAGAAAGATAAAAATGCAACTGAAACACAAAAAAAGATTTGTGTAGTGTATGAAGAAGGTGCTGTGACTGATTAAACATGTCAAAAGTGGTTTGCGAAGTTTCTTGGACATTTTGGCCAAATGGTCCTTTGCTGCAGGGCTATCTTAGCGCATTGGAAGATGTTTAGCAGCACCCCTGGCCTCTACCCACTAGATAGCAGGAAACAGCTGACATACTCAAAATATCCAAATCAATAAAGTTATTGGTGAAAATGAAAAATATATATTTTATTTTATGGAAAAAACTAAATGGACCTTTTGGCCAACCCAAAACATAGAAACTCTGAGAAAGAAAGATAGCAGTGATATCATAGGGTGGTCCTAAGGCTCAAGTGAGTCATTAGATGAAAAGGCTTAGAACAGTGCACAGCACATAGTAAGTGCTCAATAACTGACAGAGCTTGTTATTTTCAGTAGAAGGCCAACTATGAGCCTGGCCCTGTGCTAAGAGTTACATATAGCCTCTTGCTTGAGATTCATAACAAGCCACAGAGAAAAGCGTGATCGCTCCGTATTTCCCATCCCATATGGCAAGTAGAAGCTAAGCAACTTATCCAAGATCTCAAAGTTAGAAAGCATCAGAAAGAAAGTCCCACCCTTGGTCTATAGTGTTTCTAGAGCCCATGTTATTTGTCCTGCTTTTTAGAACACCCTACTCTTCTTATTTTCAACTTAGGTTGAGAGTCAATTTTCCTTCCATGAGCACTTGATCTTCCCTTTCCAAATGGCTCATTCCTCAGTGTTACTCATTTTGTATGAATTAAGAGTATTTTTTATTTTTTATGGTGGACTTCTAATTTGTCTAGTTTTATATCAGGCCCAAAATTTTCCCAAATTCATTCTAGTCTTTCCTCAGATTCGTACTCACATAGTGGCATCCACATTTAAGAAGTTCGATGAATGTTAGTTTTTCTTCTGGGACATGTGTGAGAAAAATCCACATTTTTGTGGAATGGAAGCTTCCCTTCCCCATCCATTTTTGTTATCACATTTTTATTTAGCTGAACATGTGGTAATATGACTCTCATATGAGGCAACTGCATTGTCATCCAAATGTAATCAGATACCATTATTATGTTAGTGGTATTACCCTGGTTACAGATATTGTGCCAGAGTAATCTCTGTGTTACAAAAATACCTTCTAGTTGTGGTATATAAACTAACACCGTACTTTAATTTGCCAAAAAACACCTACATGGTAGTTTTTAATTTATACAGCAATTAGTATTTCAAAGTACCTTACCATGAGTTATCTTTCCCATCTCTGTGAAGCTAAGAATCAGAACTATCACTGCAGTTTCATAGGTGGGAAACTAAGGTAAGGGAAGGATAATGGCTTGTCCAAGGTCTCAGACTAAGCCCACAGCTTAGCTAGTATTAGAATCTGCTACTTCTGATTGCATTTCTTTGCTAAGGTCTTCAGCTCAACCTGTTCAAATTCTGAATAATTTTCAAAGTGGATATAATATGTTGAGAACAGTGGTGGAAATGGGAAAGTAGAAAAATACTATTCATTTAAGTAAACCTTCTAAAACACTTGGTAATTAAAGAATAAGGATTGTGAGAGCCCCTTTTCCTCATTTCCATGTATAGAATGAAAGGACAATAATCCAGTGAAATTAAAATAAATAAAAATTGCAAGCATAAAGAGGAATTGTTCAGGTCACACTATTTTCCCATTTCAACATCATTTTATTCTCCTTTTCAGCAGTCAGTACTACAGGTGCCACGAATTTGAAATGCTTTGTCACTATTGTCATGGTGTCCCCCTTAAGCAGATATACACAATGGACCTATTCTGCTGTTTTATGACCAAGGAAACAAGGGTATACTGAGTAGTCAAGTGACTTCTAGAAGCACTCATCATACCTGCTGCTCAAATTGGAACCGAGGGTTCCTATCAGTCACACTCTATGGAAATTTAGGTTTCAAAGTTTTGTTTCAGCGTCAGAGATGGGTGACAGTGCATGAAGGCAAATTTGTTCACCATATGCAAAGGATATGCAAAGGGAGCAGCCCTGCTTCCACAGTCCCTCCTCCATTTTCTCACTCCCAAGTCATTCCACAAAATTCCGCATTCCTTTAAGGGAAAGAACTTTCCTTTGGGGAAATAGGTGGAACTAAACGTGTTTCATATCTAGATTTCCACGGTTTTCTCTTATTTCACACAGATAGGTCTATAATGAGCTCTTAGATAAGCAACAGATCTCATTTTCCTTTGTAGAACAGGGGAATGGCCCGAACTCAAGAGACTATTAGGGGCACTAGGAACCAAAGGAATAAGTCTGTGTCTGAGTGATAAGCTCTTGTCAAATACCAATTACTACAGAAGATGGTGCAGAAATATTAACAGCTTAGATGTGCTCTGTCTCTTCCACGCCATCCATTTTATAAGGGAAAATGAAGCCACCTACTTATCCAAGAGCCCATGTACAGTCATGCCTGTATGGAACAAACAAATGGAGAACCTTAGAAATCAAGGCACAAAAGTCACTTGTTCTAACTTATTTCATTAAAAGAAATTTCCTATTTTCTTTTTTCATCATTAACATAAATATGGTACTACAGCAAGTATATTGAACAGCTGGTGTTTGGCTCCTATTACCAAGGTGATTTTAAAAATAATTGGTGTCTGTAAAAAACCTTCACAGGGTGTGTATGTGATAAACACTGTTGGAAAACTTTTCCTCTAGTTATATCCAGGAGAGGGAAAACGCCAGGAAAATGTATTATTCCCCGTAACCTGCAACCCTGACCAGGACAGACCTGGTATATATCTCATTCATGTGGTCTACACCTAATTCCTCGGCGACTAAGGCCACTCTCCCAGGCCACTCAGAAACTAAGCAAACGTTGAGACTGAATGTTCCCCCTTGCCTCTACCAGTGATTTGGCTCACTGGACGAGGGTTTAAATTTGTGCAATTCCTGCATCATTAACCAATTTTTCAAGGCCTACTAAGACTCCGCACATGACAGGTGAGCTAGATGCAGCTCACGTTTTCGGGGGCAGGCAGTCATTTAAATAAACATCTGTGAAAGTCTGCGCTCCCTCACACATCATATCCTGGTTACCCACACTGAGGGACTAGAACCTTTGGCACTTCTGCGATCTGGTGAAGGTGTGTGTCAGGGCACCGGGAAGCTTGACCCCTTTCCTGCCATGCATACCTTCATTTTACTAACATGGTTTGGGTACCGACCTATGGAAAGTGCAGTTTCGGGCACACAGAGGCCACTACCCATCCACAGCTTATAGTTGAGGGGTTACTAACATTCTAGACCTCAGCCTGGAAAGCAGCAGCCAACCCTGTGCTTTTAAATTATACTCACACCTCCGTATGTGTGCTGCAGCAAAGGTAAAGGCTAAAAACCAGCTGAAGGGCTAACCAGGCCTGCCGGCCAGAAGGGCCAAGCCCACAAAGCCGCCTTCCGGGGCTATTCAGTGGCATCGGACCCAGCGAGCTCAGCCTCCCCGAGGCCCGCCACCGCGGAGGTCTCTGAGCTAGGTCCAGGGGCTTTCCAAGGGAGAAAGGGCGAGAACATGCAGAGTCGGACAGACGTGCTGCGCTGCGGCGTTCCTGCCTTCGAAGATGGACAGTTCTGGCTCCACTGGTGGACCCAAAGAACAGCAGAAGGAGCCACCGCTGAGGATGCCACCCTGCAGGGTAGCTGGATCGGAGGGAGGGTCTCGCGGGTTCCGGCGCCGCGAGTGCCCGAGTCCCCCTTTCGCCCCAAGGGATGATAGTGCCCCGGGCGCCTTGGGTCGAGAAGAGAACCTAGGCGCCTAGTAAGGTCTCCGCTGCCAGTGGTGTTGAGCGTAGGGGTGAGGAGGGGCCGTGTGATGAACTTGCCTAGAGGTTTGAGGTGTCAGAATTTTGTTTCGAGGATAACCACCAGACCGCAATCAGAACGTTTTCCAGGAAGCCCGGAGCTCCCAGTTCCGGGCCCAAGCCTTCGCGGGTGGCTGGGTGGTCCGGCACGGGACTCACCCTCTTTGGGTGTTGGTTTCCCCCGACTGCTGGGAATGCTTTGAAGCCGCCAAGTTCCGCGCCTCCCGTAGGCGCCAGGTGTGGGCGTTGTCTACCGGGTCTCAGCCCGCGCTGCGGTTGTGTTTCTCGCTCCGCAGCGCAAAGATTCGCAGCGGCTCCAGGCCTCTCTCAGCCTTCCGGAGCCGCCAGTTCCCTCTGGAGGCGCCCGGGTCCCGCTGCAGCCTCACCTACAGGCGAGGTCCCTCACCGCAACCAATTTGCCCGCCACGGGAGCATCTCCCCTTCAGCCCTCAGCAGCGGCTATTGGACCGTGGCGGCAGGGCGGAGTCGGGCCCTCGGCACCGCCCTCGGCCGCCCCTAGCCCTGGCGCCACTACGATTGGCTGCGGGAATCCACTAGTCACGTGCTGGAGCGCCCCGCCCCGCGGGGGGCCGACCCGGGATGGCCCCGCCCCCCGCCGTCCGGTCCCGCCTCCCTCAGGAGCCGGGTTTGCTCAGCCCCGCTGTCCGCCTCATTCGTGGAGCAGGTTCATGAATTGTCAGAGCGCTCCCGGCCGCCGCCGAACCCGGCGGTCGCAGGGCTGGTCGTGTTCCTTCTGAGGCGCCTGCCTCAACCTCTGTGCCCCGGCCCACTAAGGCGAAAGCAATCCTTGTTTAGTAGCGACTTGGGATTCAGGACCCGCAGGAGAGGCGTTGGTTTACGATCGGGACTCGGCGACGAGGGTGAGTGGCGGCGCACAAGCGAGAGGCTCCTCTCGGAGCTGTTTGGCTAGCTGGGGGACTGGAAGCGTCCTGGTGCGTGTCGGTCCGTCGGTCCGAGGGTGGTCGCTGTGGGGAGGTCAGAGCTAGCAGGAATTTACTTCTTGTCAAAATCCCTACTCCCGAACTTCTTGTTTCAAAGCGTCGCAACTCGGCCCGGGACGCGACTCTGCGTTCACACGAACTTGGCGTGTTGTAATTGCCCTCACTAGGTGGGCCCAGGGACGCGTACCCTGGCTCTCTGCGGCGGCGATACGCGCGCTGGAGCAGCCTCTATGCCTAGGGTCCTAGATGGCTTGCGGATGGGTTTCTGAAAAATAAACACGCTCCGGAGGCGGTGCGCTACGAAAACCTCGCGTCCGTGTCTGATCAATAGCCTGAGCAAGGGACCATCGGGTTCGGGCTGGGTCTTAATCAGTTAGAGAACTTAAGTGACCAGCAAGGTTCTGTAGTTGATGCTTCAGTGCTTTGCAGTTATTGAAAGGAAATGACAGCATGGATATTAAACTTTGGAAAGTAATTACTTTCTACTAGCACTTGAATCCATGCCACCTGCAAGGTGTGTATGAAGAGTATGTTAGAACCAGGGGGGAGCTACTGTCTGTCCCAGTGCCCGGAGCCCCGGATAATACAAGGCCAGACTCTGAAATGAACCACCAGGTTGGTCGGTTGGTGTTTGCTTGAGCACCTGTGTGTTTAAGTGATGAAGTTGTGACAGGAACTGACAACAGGATTTAAGGAACTGACAACAGGATTTAAGGACACTTCATTTGTGATTCAGTCTGGATTAGATATTTTAAAATCTTAATGATATGGAGTAAAAGCAGCTGGTTTTCTGAGGGCAGTTACATACATGTCTTTTATTTGTGTGGACTAAATAGAATTAAATACAGTATTTTCTTTTAATTCTTATTTGACGTGAATGAGAGCTTGGGTTGGAGACGGGTACAGAATTTGGGAATATTTTGATCTTTGAAAATATATAAAAGCGTTGAGATATACAGTTATCCATGCGTGTATATGCACATGTAGATGTACGTGTATGTGTGTGTACATACATGTGCATGTGTATAAAATTGATAGGTGAATGAAGTAGAAGTAAATGGAGAGGGAAACAACCTTGAACTTCCTTTGGGTGGAGAGATGGACCCTCTGATCTGTGGGATGTAGAATGAGTGTGTGTAAGCATGTCTGGATCTGCCTGATCTGTCTGGGTCAGTGTATGTCCATGAACTTTATGAGCATTCAGTTCAGTACCTCTTGGTGTAAATTCCACATCCCTGTTTTACAGACCAGCAGCTGCCAGCTGACCCATCTGTTAAAACATAGCATGTACATTTCAGTGGAAGCTCTAGGATGGAGCATGGGTAGGGGCAACCCTCAGTAGAAACAACATGCAACAACAAAGCCTGTATCTCAAGTTCTATTTTCATTCAATATTCAGCCTGAACTTGAGATTTGAGTAAGGAAGAAAAAGAGTGTTTGACTCTTCAGAAATGGCAAACTACAATTTGTGAAAATATCATAGCCATGGTTTGGAGAGGGGGAGTTTACAGGAGGAAAAAAATCCCTCTAGAAAAGAAATGTGGTGCTTGTCATATCACCATGCAACACTGGTTTACTGCTTTGCAGTAGCATGTATTTCAGAGACTGTGTTCTTTTGCTTCTTAAGAGAATGCGTTATAACTGAATTGTTTTGCACCCCCCCAAGAAAAATCCTTAAGAGAAGTAAACAGAACTTTATAGCAGAAGCTATTTAATCTGTTAGAGTTAAGACTACCTTAGTAATTCTAATGAAACATATTTTTAGGAATTTATAACTTGGATATAAATTCATAGTTAGCCTAATCACTAGTTGCAATGGTTCACAATTTATAGCTTAAAAAATAATTAAAAACCTTTATCACAAAAATTCTGATGAGTAAAAGAATATGGGAGTGGTTTAACGGCTTAATAAGTTCCTGCAGCCAAATTACTGATACTTTAAAAATCTATAAATTCCTTTAATAGCATAATTATTTTTGGTGACAAAATAAAGCCAATATTTTTGTGAAGCATAGTTGATATTTCCCAATAATTTTATGCTCATAATTATATTTTAATAATGGCATTCATTGTATGTTACAGAATAAACAGCAGTGGTTCTTAAGAATCCATCACAAGTATTGTTTTCATTTTTATGGTACTTAACCATTTTCGGGAAAATATGCAAATCCCTAATGTGTGAGTGTCTGTAAATTTCTGATGGATTACATAGTCATAACAATTTTCTTGCCTTGATATGGATCATCTGAGTCAACTGGGTTGTTCCTTAGAAATTCATTTCACAGGCTGGACTTCAGTCTCCAGGATTCCAGTATGGGGTGGGACTTAGGAATCTGCATTTTTAACAAGCACCCCCAAATGATGCTTGATATAAAAGAACAATATAGTCTGTAAGTTGATTTAACAAGTACTTTTTCCAAAATTTCCAGGTGGCATTTACTGGCCTTGTTAAATCTATGGGTAATGCTTTAGGTCTCTGTCCTCAACAATGGCACCTTTTGTCCTATGTTCAGAAGCGTTTTCGAAGCCTGGGTTATCCTTGTTCCAGGTTACCCCAATTCTAAGGAAGTCTGTTTGGGGGAGCAAGGTAATTTGAGACCCTGCCCTCAGCCTTAGTCCCTCCATTCTCTACTCCAAGTCTAGTGGGTCCCTGGGGTGCTTTGGGGTGACTTTGCCAGTCCCAACTCACATTGCTGGGCATTTCTCCTTGGAGGATAGAAGAATCCTAGTCCTTGGGAGCCACCTTTGACTCTTTGAGAGGCTAGAACCTTAGCAGGACTAGTACCGACCAATCCCAGGTTGGGGGTCTTCTTGGGAAGCTATAGCTGGTTTGCCTCTCTGTCAAGAGTGTCCCAAGCCAACCACCAGAGGCCCAGGGAGCCTTATTTTCAGAAAGTCATCTTAGAAGTATTTTGAGCTGTCCAGTTAATTGGGTATATAGATTTTCTCAGCATCTCAGCAGAATTTATTGCAATCTCTCTTCAAATCAGTGTGAATTTTGATTTATTAATTATTGCCTATTTGTTTTTTTATGTATAGATACTGATGTTTGAATTCTGTTCTCCCATTTCAAACTGGCATAATCCTCAGCTTAAGACTCCCAGATAAGGCTTAAAAGAGAAAGGATCTATGAGAAGTTATGCCCTTCACATTTTCTACCATCTACATACCTAAAAAACCAAATGACTTCTCAGAGGTCAGCAGTACACAGAGTATTTACTTCTTTCATGGCAAAAGGATGTGGGTAAGCTGGGAAACTGAACTTGGATTGTTCCAGGCCACTGCACCATTACAGCGATTTTTACAGAGCAATTTCTGTTTTAAGGAGCACTTGGCAGGCATGTTTATAGGTCACTTATCTTAACAATCCTTTGAGTACAATGATTGTTTTTCCCCACTTTGTTACAGATGAGCAAACAGCAACCACAAAAGGATAATAATATTTAGATCCTGTTTTTCATATTCAAAGATGACACCGATAACTGAGAAGTTGGCCTTGTGTTTTGAATTGTTGTTATTTAGCATCATGGTGGGAGATGATAAAGTTATTCTTAGTCAGTTACACCATCTACAGGTTTGTTTGTTTTTTTTAACCTTTCTTTGAAATTTTTATACTGAATAGGACCTTGAAACAGTTTTCTTTAGAAAGCTACCCACCATATACGATAATTGGTTCAATGACCTTGACCTTAACCAGCCAGTCTTGACCCACAATGGCAAATAATTTGCTAAAGGTCACAGAACACAATGGCAGTAAAGCCTATATGTAGAATTTTTTTGGACCAATATTTTAGACCTGTACTGTTTGCCTGTTGAGTCATGCTGCTAATAATGTTTTTAGACTGGCAGGATAGAGTCGCTTATATTTCACTTGCCCAGCTTTTGTATGCTGGGCAATCTGTATGATTGGATGGACCTAGAAAATTTTAAAAGCCTAATGTAAAATCTCAGCCTCTGATTATACAATGGGACTAATTTGTGCCTAGTTAAAAATGACACTAGAATGCTACTTTTCTTGGAAACGGGTCATAGGTCATTGCAAATTTCTAAGCAACAATTTTGCAATTCTGGTCTCATTTTTTGTTGTTGATATTGTTGTTGATTAGGGGGGTTTGTTTTTGTTTTTGTTCTGTCCATGGCAAAATCTACTTGTAAAAAATTCACTTTTCAAGTCAGTCTGCCCTTATAGCAGCTCTGAATACTAAAATTTTAGCCACAATTCTCCAAAATTCTCCTCAAACTCTTACCTTCACTTTGGTTTCTTGCACCCAGAAACATCTTCTAATATAGAACAGACATTGAACTATAGAAGTGTTATACTAGCTTTAACTTTGTGGTTTTAATTATAACAATAGTAAAAAAATAAATAAAAAGAAGGAAAATATTAAAGTGATGTTGATAAGTGTATCACGTTTGATATTCTCAGCTTATAGTTTCCATGGGAAATTTAAGATCCAGGTGAATGAAGTGACAAATGCACTCATCTGTGACCTTACAGACACTCTTCTGATGCAAGCTGAGAAATATAACTTCAGACAGCATCCTGGGTTACAGAAGAAAAACAAATGTTAAGCACTGAGAAAAAAAGTTGGCAAAAAGTGAAGGGTCAGGGTGGGATGGAATAGGGGGAGTGGTGGGGAAAAAAAATACCTCCAGTAAAATGCCAGACAGGGTGGTAAGAAATTTATAGAGGTGCTGATGGTTTGGGGATTCTTGGGGGCACTGATTCTGTTTTATATTGTCTTCACAACCCGCTTGCCCTGCTTGCATTAAATAATTTATTATAGCAGCAGGCCTTCCTCTGGTTAGTCTCTTTTTTTATAACTTTTTCTTTCTCATCTCTGGGTCTAATCAGAGGCATATATAATAGTGTGGCTGCTCCTGAGTACTTAGGAAACTCCGTGATCAATATCACTATG